CGGAGGGCCCTCTCCTGACCTGCCTCACAGGCCTCATCTCTCACCTCTGCATGATTGGCATGGCCACAGGTTTCCTGCCCAAACACGAGAGCCCATCTTCAAAGTAATAGCTTACAGCTGCTGCCGGGATAATCCTCATCCCCTCTGTCTTTGAAGGGCTGTGGTGACATAATAGCTCTGGCTGTTCTTTCCTAAATTCTTCTGCTGTCTCTCAGAGTGTTGTTCAATAGCAAAAGGGGAGTTAGGTGAGACTATTGCACGTGTTGCTAAATGTAGCATGATTATCAAGCAGCATAAGCAGCTCCATACTCATCCCCTCTGCCCCCCTCCAACCCTCTCTCTTATTCTTCTGGTTTCCTTTTATCCCATCCAGTCCTCCTGATGCTTATCACTGCAGCAGAAGCATTAAATGTAATGTCTGTAGAAGGGCAATCACTGGCAACATGTGGTGAGAGCTTAAGATGTTGTCACACTTTAAGTTGCCCATAATCTTCTCAAAGGGAGTGTGGATAGTTCTCCAAAGCGCTTGCAAAAACAGAAAGGATAGAAGATGAACGGCACAGAGGTCGACGTTTCTCAGCTGCACCTTACTCACTTTAAGTGTTCACTTGTTTCTGGCCTTTGCCCACTTTATAATTGTCCTTTTTGTGTGTGTGTGGAGGGGTTGGGGGGTTGGGTCCTATCTACTGTTGATGATGCTGCATTTTGTGCATTTTCTTGCAAGCCTTACAAGCCTCAGCAGTGTGATAATCTGTCACGGAGAGAGAGCGACAACCTTAGAAGAAAAAAAAAAAGAACAGACAAGGGATTACAGGTATGTGGACACAGGATTAAAAAGAGGGATGTAATGATTCCTCCGGGAGTGAGGTATGTGCTGAGATGGCCTCTTCTTTTCATTTATGAGTCCCGTCCCGGGGAGGCCTGGGTAAATATTGACAGTTCTCTTGGCTTGAGATGCGGCCATTGATCCACACGGGAGGGTCTCATCACTTGATCTGTGCGCTCAGGTGTGGGAGGAGGAAAGGCGAGAGCCGGGACGCGACTGTCGCGCTGGTGGTCCCCTTTGTGGTGTCTTTTTATACTGATGCTGGTTCACCTCTGCAACACTGGGAGTCAAGTTACCGAAAGCAGCTCAACGTCCAGAAAGTGGATTTTAGGTGGATACAAGCTTTAATGTGATTGGTCACTGGGATCAGCTAGAGGGACAAAGTGGTAATTGATCACTTAAATCAGTTCAGGTCTGATTTTCAGTCGCAGCTACATCTTCTTTGATATCTTTAATATCCCTGTAGATCAGTGCAGGGAGCGGTGTCTCTTTCCTGGTGCAGTTTCCAGTTAAATACCGCCTGTTGATATGTTTTTCTCTCTATATATAAAATAATCATTTACATCTCCCTCTCTGTCTCCTGTTGGCAGCGGCCTGTTCCTCAAACCACTAATCAGGTAATGTTAGGGAGGTTGAATGGCGTGCCTCCCTCTGGTCAACCTTCACTGCTCACACAGTGGTGTTGTTTTAAAGAGCATTCTTTAGCAGCTGAACTTGGAAAGGTATTAAAGTGGGATTAGGCTCCTCCACAATCCACTGCTTGTGTCATTCAGGGAGTTTGTGTTCTCCGCTGCCACCTCCCCACTCCTCCTCTGTTTGATTGTGGCTAGCCGCAGGAGTGGGACTGACTGTGCCTTTCAAAGGAGAGGGGTAGGGTTAAATCCCTAGTCCACTGCTCCCTGCTAATTCTCCTTGTTCCTTAGAGAAGGATTTACTTCTGCTGCCAGCTTCTCAAAGGCCTTCTCTGCCCATCCGAAAAGTCGGCGTTGCCTTCCTGTGGAGGTGTGGTTGCCATAGAAGGGGCGTCATGCATGGCTTTTCCATCTGAACCCCACTGAGAATGGGGACCGGGGACTGAAAACAGGCAGAAAGTCCGGATTAGACCCGAGGACAAAGCAGGACAGGAAGATTCCAGAAGGGACGAATGGGAATTACAGCAGCAAAAATAATGCAAAGTGACAGAGAGGGGAAATAGAAAAATAATGGCTTACAAGATTAGACTCAGCAAAGGAGAAAGAAGAAAGGAAAGAGGGCTGAATGAGAATGTTTTCATCTAGATGAGAAGATTTTAGAGAGCGGTCGTAGGTGAATACGGAGTGCTGGACATATCAAAACCGCGCTAATAAGTCATTTCCTCAACTTTTTGCGCTCTCTCTGAGCCTAAGCTGGCAACCTTTAGCCAAACAGACTTAGAGCTGGGAACTTTGTCTTGACAAACTCATCGCCTCCTTAAGATGAGCCCAGCCTATAACGATCCTTCTAAAACCTAGAAACTGGCCTATTAATGCGCCGTTCGCGGGAATAAGTCAGTGTTTAAAATGTTTTCTAATGTTCTAAATGTTTTTTCTAATTAATTTTTTTATAAGCCAAACTGGGTAGTTTGTTTAGAAAACCGATCCAGGTTGGCAGGTCAGTTAAACAAGATCCATGTTTGTTTGAGAAACATGCCGAAATTTCTTTTTCAGGGGATTATCCTAGAGGTTTTTCCATAGTTCAATAATAATCTTCTTAACTTATTGTAATAAATGAAAGATTAAAGGATTTTATGAACTCAGAGAGTGCCTGGGCTGACATCTCTGTTGTTTTATAAAGAAAAGAAGATGCTCTGTCTAACCGTCCTCAGCTTACGGATCCAGGTTGTAATGCTCATTATGATGAATGATGAAAGGATGGATATCTCGAAACTAGTAAAATAGGCTATTAATTGTTGTGAAGTGATTACGATGATATAAAATGTAGCTCTCCCGATTGCGATCTGATGAGCAGCAGTGAAGCAATTATTTTAGAAAGCTGCAGAGGCAACAACAAAAACCAAACTTGCTACCAGCGTGCACACAGCTGTTCATACAAATGCATTTACATGTGTGAACACACACGCACACACCATATCACTACTCAATCAGTACCTATAACACCATTACCATAACAAAACCACCCTTTGGTTTCCCCTCTTCTCATATTTACACATTATATTCATCACTATCGCTCAACCCCGTCCCGAACCAGCAGATGATGTCAATTGCTCCTCTCACTACCTCCCTGCCTTGCACAATGAAATAGATGTTCACCACAAATAGATAGGCGGTTGCCAGCTGTCTTCCAGACCAGGGCAAACAAAGAGGCCACTAATAAATCCAGCTTTACGGCTGGACAAGATCAACCACACTCCCTGCCTCCTTGCTCCATTTAATGTGGCTTCTTCTAAACAACGGAGGGCAAATTAAATGCCACTCAGTCACCAATAAAACAATGCAAACATCTTCCTGAAAGCACATAAAAGAAGATGGAAGTGTTGTCTAGGAAATGGTGATAGAGGCAGTGTTGCGCCACAGAGGCACGATATTAGACGGTAAGATGAGATACAGACAGACCCACTAACCAGCAATGAATCATGATATGATATCTGATGCATATAAAGCATTGTGTGGATATGAAAGAAATGCATAAACTGCCAACAAAGGCTTGATTAAGATCATCAGGGTTTAGTAGTTGCTGCACTAGAGCATGATCTAGTCTGTTTTTGGGGGGGGTTTTTTGGTCAGGCTTGTGAGGGGGTTGGGGTCAGTCCCCATGACTGAGCTCACTTGGAATGATGCAAGGCTGGGCTCAGCCTAAAATTTTAACAGATGACTAGCTGCCAAAGGAGGCACCTCTTTCGCTGCACGGCAAACACTGTAACCCTGGACAATTAGCAGATAGGCAGAGATGTAAGTTGGTAAGACCTGTTGAACATTCAGGTCCCCGAGGAAGAATAGCTTCAACTCTCATCGTGCACGTAATTACTGTCGGGTGAGAGAGGTCCCTGCAATATTTTCAGTTTCCAAATTTAAATTATGTTTGTTGAGATAACTTGAAGTGGCACGTAAATGCTTTCAAATAAATCTTAAGATATAAGGAAGGGTGGAGGGAAACCAACGCTTAGAAATTACATTCAAATTAAAGATGATTACAATGCAGAAAAATCTAATTAACACCGAATGCAAAAGTTAAGAAGTAGAACTTTACAATTGGCAATTAAGGTAGGCAGATATATAAAGCAGTGTCTATTTCTTTTTTATGTTGGTGTTGCCGAGGATGGATTACATTTTGTGTTTCATTGTCCTTTGCGCAGTGATTAGACAAACTATTCGTTTGATAAGATCCAATTGAAGAAGCCTGATTTGTTATGCTTGGTTTCGAGCCTTTGTTTTGGTGAGATTTATAGAAGTTCCCTGGCAGTTGAAATAACTACATCCAAAACACCAAAACGGGCTAGATGGGACTATGTTTATGGAAGTGTGAATAATAATTTTTGTTAAAGAGCCTTCCAGGCTATTGTTAAATATTTTGTAAGGCCAAATGAGCTGGACACTACACAGGTCCAAGATACTGAAACAGTCATAATCAAACCAGATGTAACTATACAGTGGTGTGAAATAGTGTTTGCCCCCTTACTGATTTCCTAGTGTTTTGCATATTTGTCACACTTTAGATGTTTCCGGTCATCTAACAAATTTTAATAATAGACAAAGGTAACCAAAACACACTAGCAAGTCCACCTCTGAATGGCTTAAAAAAAACTTTGGAGTGACCTAAGCCCTAACCATGAATCCGATTGAGATGCTGTGACACGACCTTAAAAAGCCAGTTAATGCTCAGAAACCCTTCAATGTGGCTGAATTACAACAATTCTGCAAAGAAGAGTGGGCCAAAATTCCTTCACAACGCTGTAAATGTTTCTTGACTGCATCCAGTTATTAGGCTTATGGGGCAATCACTTTTTAACACAGGGCCGCGTAGCTTTGGATTTTCTTTCCCCCTTAACAATAAATACCTCCATTTAGAAACTGCATGTTTTTTTACTTGTGTTATTTTTATCTTTTTCACAAGTGCTGCTTTGAACAGCAAAATTCGGTTTGGGTGTTCTGTTTAAATCACCACACTTCCTATCATATTCTCTTTTATTTCTTTATAGGTTGTTTGCAACCAAGTGCAGCGGCTGCATGGAGAAAATCGCCCCCACAGAGTTTGTGATGCGTGCTCTGGAGTGCGTCTACCACCTGAACTGCTTTTGCTGCTGCGTGTGCGACCGCCAGCTGAGGAAGGGCGACGAGTTTGTTCTGAAGGAGGGTCAGCTGCTTTGCAAGATTGACTACGAGAGGGAGAAAGACTTACTCAGCTCGGTCAGCCCGGATGACTCAGACTCAGGTGAGCCTTCTGCACCCTCTCACACAAGAGTGAGAACGACACTGTGGTGCGATCGTCAAATGGCACCAGGGTGTTGTATTCTGTATGCTCTGTCCCATCACAGCTGTGGCCACCTTAGACGTCCTCCACGAGGAACCTGGTTCTGAATCTTACTGGATTTAGTTTTAGTTTTGTTAATAGCAAAGGAATAAAGCAGTTCTAGATAGTAGATGTATTGACATCTGACATCTGAGGTCTTGCTTACAGCCCAGGCCGTAAAAAGTCTAGCGTGGCTCCATCTGCAGCTTTTCAGTGGCTGATTTTGTAGCATTCATTCGAGCAGGGAGCGTAAGTTTATGATACAGTAGGAAGTGGAAACAGGACAAAGCCAAGCCACCCTGTATTAATGGTGCTCCATGCGTGGGCAGGATCTGGTGCTGGAAAGAATTAAATCACTGTATCACGGTGAGTGACAGAGGGATTTGAGGCCTTTCTGCAGAAAGCCTGCACCTCCACTCTTATCAGCTCTAGTGTTCCTCTCCTATAGCCTCCATACACATTGAGGCATCTTGCCAAGCCTCGCTGTTCACTACCATCTGGCTCGCATTTAAACATGCACAAAAGCAAGGAATTTGTCAAATACATCTGTGCCTGTGTCAACTTTTGTCAACTTGTGGGAATATTTGCTCCACGTCTTCCTCGTTTGCTTGTATCCCAGTGTATCGCACAGGCATGTCTTTTGTGCATGTCTCAGAATTTAAAGATGGAGAAAATGTTGACATGAATAGAGGTTAACCTCGGCATGTGGCAGATGAAATGTAGGTTTTCAGTGGTTACATATCAGAACCAGATGACAGGAGACAATAAGCCATCATGCATGCGCATGCGCCCTGAAGATCCCAGAGTCATTGGGGTTTGTTAACAGCAATTGTAGTTTTGATTTGTAAACACTTGCTTTTAGCCTCATATAAAAAAATATATCAAATGTAATAACTGAATAATAATTATATTGTCATTTGTTTTTTGTTTTTTCATCATCTACTAGCAATCAGTTAAAGGATGTGACCAGCCCAAACCAGTTTATGTATAAAGCATTATGTGGTGTTACATTATATAATATTGCATCATGTGCAGATATTTAGCCTATTACAACTTGCAATTCAGTAAATTAGCTTATTTGAGTTGGTCTGATACTCTGTTCAAACCATGCTTGCTGGCTTCACAGTTTAGCTTAGCTTGATGGAAATGCTTTCTTTACTCAGTGGGCCTGCCTCTTTTTAAATAGTATTTAGTATAATTAACACATAGGTTGTGCAAGCAGATTAGCAGGTCAATTATTTTCAGTTATTAAACAAAATCAGGTCTCGGGAAAACGGAAAACTCTATGAAACATTAATTATTTATATTTTGCTCAATTGTAATTACTCTAAATCCAGATAGAGCTAATGGTGTAAATAAATTAGTGATGAAATTGTTGCTATTCTTTAAAGAATTAGACAGAAAAATACAAATTCAAGTTCTGTGAAATATAGTCCTTCTTTTTGTTCCATTATGTTTACAGTTGTTCATGTTGCATTTTATTTAACGCCGTGTTATATTATTATATAGTCTGTGACACCATGAATGCAGTGGGTTGCTGCATCAGAAAGATAGGTGACGTCACTGGAACAAGTAAAAACTGTGAAGCAAAATGGACATTATCTCGCCTAAACAATATCAGTGGGTGCTTGTCATAATATTCCCTGATAACAGTGAAAAGTGAATATGGTGGGGCTTCCCAACAGACAGCTCTGTCCCAATTTAACGTCTGAACACACACATATATATATAAATGACAGCAATTTTACTGACCCAGATTTTAATATCCTGCCCTTGACAGTTAAAGTTTAGCAAAGTGTATAAATTCCGTCATTATTTTAAGGTTAAGTTTGAATCGAGACTATCTTACATATTGTGTTGCAGGAGATGCATTTCCCATATGTACTCATTGCCTGTTTCATGTTGCACTTGATGTAATACTCTTATCAGAGATTGATTTTGTGTAAATCAGAGAAAGCTGAGAGTAATAATTTACTAGTGACATTGTGTCCAGTTCAGTGACAAATGTGCATATTTCACTGTGCTTTCCATAGATGTCTGTAGGTCTAATCATACATGAGGCCTTTTCCTTCTGTAATAAATTGATAATGTATCAAAAACACATGTGTCTCCTTTGATTAGGCACTTGTGGTGTGTGAATCTCTTGAAATAGGGAAGAATGAAAATATATTTATCAGCAGACTGTCATAGACAAAAAAATAAGGGTGTAGCCAGTTCAAGCTTGTGCTCATGATACAGAGAACTGATTCTCTTTACAGAGAAAAGTGACGATGAGGAGTTGGACATCAAGCCAGAGAAAGGCATAGGAAGCCAGGGGAAGGGGGATGACAGCAAGGATCCAAGGAGGCCCAAAAGACCACGAACCATTCTGACCACTCAACAGAGACGGGCCTTTAAGGCTTCTTTTGAGGTCTCTTCAAAGCCCTGCAGAAAGGTAAGACAAAGCTTTAATAACCAGCTGCAACTGAGTAAAGAAAATCTGAGATTTATGTTTTTTTAATTCCCTGGTAAGGGTTTAGATAGAAGTTGAGATGCGAACCACGAGCCCTACAGTAGTTTGACAAATAAAATTCTCAAATTAAAAAAATCTCCCCCACCTCAAAGCTGAGCTTTGAAGTGGCAAGCAGCATTCTGTTCTGTGTTAACTGAGGCAGTCTGGTGTAACGCACTCCGTCTGCACCAAATGTCACACTGAGATAGGAGAACTCCCTCCATAGCCCGGGCCCTAAAACAGGCGCTGCACTCGGTCCGAACTTTGAAGCGGCAATAACCAGTAGGTCCAAAAAGACCACTGCATTCAGTCAGCGTTGACTTAAAAGCAAATCAAAGAGGCAGTGCGGCTGTTAGGAACTGTGGCAGTTATGTTAAGGCGAAACGGGATTTCAGAGGGCTGTGAAGCGTTTCGGTTTTTTGTGTGATGCTCACAGTATTTTGTTTGGATTTTCAGGTGAGGGAGACTCTGGCTGCAGAGACAGGACTCAGTGTTCGGGTGGTCCAGGTGTGGTTTCAGAACCAGAGAGCTAAGGTGAGAGCAAATACCACAAAACAAATTGCATTTTGTGTCCTTACCCTACCCACTCCCAAAAAAAGCAGCTTCGGCCCATTTTAGAGTTCAGCTAGTAAATCACCACAACTATGTGTGTTAAACTTATCACTGCATTCCTTTTGCAAATGCAAAAGAGCAAGGAGCTGCAAATCTAGCTCACTCTTGCATTAAATGTCTACGCCCTCCTCTTTTCTGATGATTATCTTGTGAAAACCTTTGATATTTGACAATGAAGTGCGCTCAGATACAGATTTTACGCAGTTCATTCAAGGGTGAAGAGCGAGGAGCATCCTTTTTAAATTAAAGAGAGCATGTTAGTTTTGGGAGTTCCTCACAACTTTGACTCCTTCGTTTCAGATGAAGAAGTTGGCAAGAAGACAGCAGCAACAACAAGAACAACAGAATTCTCAAAGACTTGGCCAAGGTACGATGCTCCACATACCCTGCAAACACAATGGAGGCCCATTGTCTCCGGCAGCCCCAAGCTTAAAGTGATATTTGTACATATCTCCAAGTAGGTCAAGAGTGTTTATATCGCGGCAATAGTTTGTTGTTGATGTTGACATCGGAATAGGGAGAAGGTGTACCAATTGCTTAATCTCAAAACAGGAACTTTTCTTCTCTCGCTTACGCTGCGCTCTAATCAAAGCTGTATTTGCTAGTGATGCTGAATTACAAATTACAAATATGTCACTGTGTAAACAAGGGCATTTCACATGAAGGGTAAAATGGAAATTCAGTTTGGAAGCCAAATGAAATGAATCATCATCATTTCACCTAACCACTATAAAGGAAAGTGAATGGGGATGGGCTCCAGTGATGAAGCCACAAGAACTTTGTGTCCCACATTCAGTTAGCCAAGAGCATTGTTTGTAGAGGGAAATGGGAGAGAAGCCACAGCGAGGACTACCGTATGTTTCCATAAAAACAACAAGGGCGAGCAATCCACATATTTGGGGTACAAATAGGAATCTATCAGGAAGTACCTACTCTGTGGTTTTCTCTTGGTCAGCGTCACCGGCTCTCTGTGGACCCGGTTTGCATAGTGGCATTTAATATTTTGCAGACTCATCTGAAGTCTTCTTGTTGGCTGTATTAACTTTCCCCCTTTGCTTTCATTGCCTTGCAGAGGTGATGTCTAATCGAATGGAAGGGATGATGAACTCCTTCACACCGCTGGCTCCGCCGCAGCAGCAGCTGGTCGCCATGGATCAGAATGGTTACAGCACAGACCCGTTCCAACAGGGGCTCACCCCCCCACAGATGCCCGGGGACCATATGAACCCATATGGTGAGCATCTACCCCACCCCCCACCCTCCTTTACACACACACACACACACACACACTACTACTACATCCCCCAAAAACCCCACTGCTGCTTACAAAGCGCACACATGCCTGTCCCTTGATCAACCTCAAAGCTCCCCAGTGTGGGACATGTGCTCAGGCCACAGCCCCCTGATTTAAGTTGCTCACAGAGAAGAACGAGCAGCTTCTCCTCCCACATGAGATAACACAAGTGTTCTCATAAGCCGTTGGGTTTTGAAGTGTAATTTCAAATCTGTTTAATATGGTTTTAACTCCTTGCCCCCAGCCCCGTTACTGATGATGTTTCCGAATGTTGGTAAAAACATGTGGTCTGTGTGGGCAGCTTAAGATAAAATGCACTGCAAATAATGATTGAAGACCGTGTGAGCTAATGAATCAGAATTGGAAAACAACAAGTCTCAGATTTCTGTTTGATAAAGGAAGGAATTAGAGCGCAAACAAAGGCGGGAGGGGGGAAAAGAAAAAAGAAAAAATCAGTCAATCAAGTGTTAGTCCACAGGATGTAACTGGAATAACACATTTTCGAGCGATGTCCTCAACATGTCCCAGAGGGACCATTTCCTGAAGTTCATAACTTCCTTATAATTTGCCTCCATTTAGTTCTCTTCGGTAGTAAGAACCAAATCCCCAGTCTCATCACTCTCCTTTGGTTTGGGGAAAAGAACAATATTGGCAAGGCATTAAAAGATATGTCTCAAAACACTGTCCCCATTTTGTGCAACACTATCATTAAGATCCAGAGTGTAATAAAGTTAACTATTCCCTCCAGAGAAATAACATGTTGAGGTTTTATGAAAGGCGTAAACAGTTGCTATTAACCAGATCTTTTAGGAGGATGCCCCTTGTTTACATGCTCCCTCACAGACCGCAATTGTCCCAGTGAGCGCAGCAAAAAGTGAGCTTTGATGATATCTAACAAAACAGTTCTCACATTTGTGATGACACATAACAGCAGTTTCTCAAAGGGACTATTAGTAATTATAATTTCCCAACGCGTCTATAAATCTCAAATACAAGATTACACCGATTTCGCAGCCAGAGTAGGGTGTTGTGCTCTTTGAATGACGCCTCTGCCTCTGAATCCTGACGGCTTTTTCCGTATCCGCTCTCTGCAGGTAATGATTCTGCATTCCATGACATAGACAGTGACACGTCTTTAACCAGCCTCAGTGACTGCTTCATGGCATCGTCAGAAGTCAACTCCTTGCAGGCCCGCGTGGGGAACCCCATCGACCGCCTCTACTCCATGCAGAACTCTTATTTTGCGTCATGAAAACAGAAGAGGAAGCTAACATTAGCGCAGAATAAACTGCCCATCTCAAGCTGAAGAGCGATGGATGGCCAGGACCTACGCTAACATGGACATGACAGAAGAAACACCTCCTTGCAGTAGCTCCTGGTTATGTGTGGAAGCTTACTGAAAAGATAGTAAAACCACTTATTGTAGGACAGTGACGATTCCTGGGGGAAAGACTTAAATATTGTTAGAGATTATTTGGTAGGATTGCTTATTTGTCACAGGAGATATTACTCTTTTCTTTGTTCACTTAAAGGAAATAAGTAGATATTGAAGCCACTGATTACACACTCTCAAACCAAATAACACAAAGAATTTATACAGTGCATGATCAATTGTAAACAAAAAGTTTTTGTAAGCTCCCCCCTCCCTCCCTTCCTCCCCCAGTTAAGATGTGGTGTTTGGACTGTTTCTTCTTTCACACTACATGGGATTCCATGTTCACCGTTAGCATTTTGATCACTTTCCATAGGTTTAGATATTGTGTTAATAGTAAATAGGTGCAGCATGTCTGCAAGAGTGACTGTACATTTGTGTATGTATGAGAGAAAGAACTGTTTAGCTGAGACAAAAGTGGAGAATTTGGTGGACAAGTAGGATCAGTGAAGTGTAAATACTTTCCCCAGGCAAATTGGATGTGCATGTTAAAAATGGAAAGCATTCTATTTATTTAACTATAACAGGCTCTTGAAGGTACATATTAAAACTGAAAAGCTTTATTTAAAAAGGAGAGCATTTTTGTTGAGGAATTAGTGAGTTCATGAGTATCACAGCTCATCTGTATACCTTTTTAATATGAAGATTAACCCTCTTGTTTTTGTTTTATTCAGCCAAGCTGTAAATGGGCAAAGTTGCTATTTATTTCATACAGACCATAAACCTTTTGTTGTCATTGTCCTATGTGCATTATCAAAATGTTAAAGTTGCTAATTGACCAAAGTCGACTGGTTTGATGAATAAACAATGTCTTTCTCCTGATAACGTTAAATAAATACCATCAGTGACAAGTCATCAAGTATTACCAACTTTTAGGGCTCAAAAATTAAGCCAGTGTGGGAGTGCCAAAAACTGCAGTTGCTCAAATGACAACTTGAGGCTAATTCCAAAAGAAAGTCAGTCCTTTTGATGTTGATGCAGACATGTGATTAACCCTCTGATGTTAACTTGTCTATCATTTTGGACATGTGACAGTCATGGTATAAATAAGGCCCCAATCACACCGGCCTAGAGAACTGTCTGTGACCATCTAGTAATCTTTAGTTGTGAGGGGAAAATTAGTATTGCCTGACTGGTTATGGGTAGTTGCTGGAGGTTGATGGCAGTCGCTGGCAAATGATTGTTAAAGCCCCAGTCACCCAGGCCAACAGGCCTGTCAGTGACCCCCTTTCAAACAATGGTCGCTAGGGAAAAATGTGTATTCCCCAACTGGTTGGCAAGCATACTAGCATACTGCTGCAATCGTGGTTTGAATGGAAGTGGCAGAATTGTCTACACACACTGGCCAGCTAGTCCCTGAGCTGCAGTTAAACTGTGAAAAGTTTTTCATGTTTGTCTACAAACACTTGTAAACTACTAGCTGAGCTGTAGTAAAACCTGAAAAAGTGCAACACAAACCAGAAATGGAGACCATCTGTCTTCAAAGTAAAAATTGAAACATGCTGGCTGCAGCACTGAGGCTCAACTTTTACTTTGAAGACAAACCTTCTTTCATTTCTGGTTTGTGTTACAGTTTTTCAAGTTTTTATATTGCTCAGTTAGTAGTTAACAAGTGTTTGTAGACACACAAAAAAACTATAGGCAACTGTGGAAATAACAACCAAAGCTATCTCCAGGACCCTCTTTGGAACTTACTCAGCAACAGCCTTTAGGAGCCCCTGCCATCTAGTCAGGGTAAAACACGTTTCCCTAGCAACCATGGTTGTGTTGTGGATGTGTAATACAACTGACAACTCTTGATCAATGTGTGTAGGATGTCACACGAGAAACTTTAATAGACTGTGAATCATGATCTTAACTTGGTCAGGCATCAAACACGTAGATCTAAAGACCAGTAAGTGAACCTCTAGAAATCTCCAATCACTAGGGAAAAATTTGGTATATTGCCCAATTCATTGGCTGCTGCTAGTTGAAATTGGTCCCAACAAAGGTGCTGCACCAAAGCCCTTTTTGTGATTGTTTTAGTCACTAGCATTTTGCTGGGGTCACCTGTAGTTTCCATGGAGGACGTCAGCTTGTCTACAAATATCCAACATTTATTCTCCAACCTGTTCAGAAAATTGAAGAAGTGCAATGCAAACTGGAAACAGAGACTGTTCACCTTCAGAGTAAAGGTTGGCCCTCACTGCTGCAACTAACACATTTCAAAGGCCCAATTTTGACTTTGAAGATGAACAGTCTCCATTTATGGTTTCCATCATACTTTACCCAGTTATACTAAAATTTGGTGAATACTTTGCCAGTGTTTGCAGAGAAGTTGCTGTCTTCCTTACAAAGTGCTAGTGACCAAAGCAAGAAGGTACCTCTCACAAATTGCTTTTCCCAAGCCATTAGTGGGGGTTACTGACTGGTCCATAGTCCTGCATGAATAAGGCCTTAGCAAGGTGAATCCATGACTGTATGGGTGCATCATGCAGACACAGATATCTCCAAGTTGGTGCAAACATCTAGCTGACCAAGCTAGCTAGCCTTAGCTTATAACTCTGTGCTACATATCCTTAGTTTTTCAGTTCTGTTAGAACAGTACTCTATATTAACACTATTCTCAGCACGTGTGAGCTACTTCAGTTAATGGCCTTTATGCACACTTCATTAAATTCATCTTTAATTTTTAGCAGCATTATCAATGGTTCTTGAAAAATAATAAACATTATTGGTCCCAAAAAGTTAAATCCCAATAAAACTGGTGGTCACTTGACTTTTCTTTTAGCACCAATACTTAATTTAAATGCTTCTGTATTTAGTAAACATTATAATGTACTAAAATTGTGAAAACAGTAAAGATAACTACTTTACATTAGCGTGTTAGAGTTTTTTGTGAACATTTTATAACACTGGCATTAGTTAGAACTTATGTAAGTCCTTTACAACTCATTGACTACATTTACAACTCAACTGTAACCTAGCTAATTTGTCCAACATCAGTAGAAGACCTGAGTAAGCATGAAAACATTCCAGTTTATGACTTGTCTGTAAGAGAATGCGGACGTTAAGGCATAAACACCTATGTGGGCTGAGGGTGAGGTCGGAGAAAAGTTCAGGTGACATACCAGTACAGCTGCACGACTACAGCGCAAACCCCACCTATAACCTCAGGGCTGTCGGGCGGTTGCTTGGAAGTACCATCTGGGTGCTCCTTCATCTCACCGACAGTTCTCAGTGCTGCCAGGCAGTCTTCCACCCACAGTCTGTTTAGTCATGTGACCAAACAGATTAATCAACACACGCATGATCTTGTGTCTTATTGTGTCCCGGTATGCTTCGCGAAATGCGACTAGCTAGAACATAACAGAAGATGACTGCACTATCTTCTCTCCATCTACCTATATATAACATTTACTGTCGATGGCTATCTTGTCTTCAATCTGACAGCCAGGTGTTGGACTTGTTACACTGCCATTTATCTTCGCTTGTCATTCCACAAGGAGGAAACGCCCTACAGTGACATCATCTTAGTCTTAGACTGGGTACTCATTGGACGGGTGAGATTTTGGTTTTAAAACACCCAAAAAATTTGTCAAACCCAGCTGGGAATAAAAGGCACGGTCAGCTTAAGTTGCCATGCGGCAGATAAACTAAAGCATAGCAAACATGATAGTGATAGACAGCGTGTGCGTCTGTTTGCGACTGTCTGCTTGACTTAGTGTGTGTCTGTTTTCAGGTTTAATGAGAACAACGAACATGTTAGCGTCAGGTTTCTAATATATATGTGGATTCAAGTGTGAAAGATGTGAAAGACTGAGTAAACAGACATGACAAAGACTTCCACTTACAGTAAACATGAATGAGGCTGTTACGCACACACTGTGTTTGCACGGGAGCCACGGTACAGTTGGTTCAAGCGCTCTCCTTTCAGGCCAGGCCAGGTGAGCTTACAGAAAGGTGTTTAGGTGTGGAGGAGGACAGAAGGTCCTGCTGCTGACATTGTAGTGGAAAAGATGAGAGTAAACCTCAAAAACCATAAATCCTACGACATATTTTGAACATTGGCTGCTTTTTCACTCATTTTCAGACCTGTGAAACATTCAAAAGGGACTTAACTTAAGGGATGAACCAGTGTTCTGTCTAATTCTCCTTTTTGGAAACAAAACAAAATCAACCATTCAACATGTTTGTCCAGAATGTCCTGAATTTTGGTTTAGAACTAGCTTGGTCTTGTTGAAAATAATCATTTAGCTAAATTGTGGTGATGTGCTTTCATCACGGCACTCTCTCCTGTCAAGATTTAGAAGGCAGTATGCCTGGATGGTAAACATGTAGCTGTCGCCACTACCCTGTTAGCTTATCTTGACTGAATTTAAATTCTAATCTAGCTCAAACAATGGAAAGGGATAGCTTCCATTTTTTTATTATTTCCTATGATAAAACTGTTTCCTGTCATAAACTGTCATAATCTTTATAATATAAACATCTACTCTATCCAATCTCCTCCGGGTGTGGAGTAGACTAGACTTAAAAACAAAAACACAAGCAAATACATGTGTTTCATCAACTATCTCCCTACAGTTTTACTTTTCGTTTGCCAAAAAAGTCACGGTAATGAGCAAACATAATCCATGTCATTGCTTGTTCACTGGCACTTGGGTGTGAATTGGCCAAAAGAGACCGTCAGAGGTTGAGGTAAGCGTGGCCCCAATATAAAAACAGTCACCCTGAAACCTGAGCTGGAGACACAAACTCACCAAGAGTTAAAGAGTCAACCCTCAGTATACTGTTAACACATTTTCTCTTCTACCTTTCTGGCACCACATAGGAAATGAGTCTAGTGACAATATTTTCATTAGATAACCAAAATCCTGACATTTTCTACCTGAGACGTAATTGGACGTTTGTGGTTCATTTAGTCTCCTTAACTGTTAGGTTTTCTTTCCCGGCCCATCAAAAACACATGGAGCTCGATTTGTTATTCGGGGTAATTTAAAGCAAGTTTCTGACCAGCTGCCCCATAAAAGCACAACGTGACCCGAGACAGTAGCTGAAGAGTGAACAACAGGGCCGCACATCCAACCCTTACTTCATCGCACTCACTCAGTCAGGGAGGGGCTCATTCAAACCATTTTTTTTTTAAATTTTATTTTGAAATGCCCATTGTTTAAAATTTACTGTTCTTCTAATTGGCATTCCCAGTTGTCATTACTGAGCGTCACAGTTACATTTTCTTTCCAACCAAATCCAATTAATTGTTGCTTTGCCAGGCCAAAGACACTCAGACGTTTGTGGGTTTTAGCACTGTCTAGATTTCTTCTCATGATTTCCCAGGGTTCGCAGGAGTTCACAGCGAGTCCCCAGTTGAGACGGTTGGGGGAGGTTTTGGGGGTGTTTTTGTTGGGCATTTTCCATGGCGTGTGGTTAATTGTTCAGGGAGACTTTTAAGCAGCGTCTGACACATATTCTTTGAGCCTTGAGGGCTTGTGCATAATCAAATAAAAGGCTATAGTGTGGGGTTTTTTGGTTTTTTTTTACCAGAGTAAGAGGTCATAGCCAAACCTCCGAGCATGCCCTCACAGCAGTCTGTTGCCCTGTTGTGTCAGTCAGCGGTGCAAGACATTGCTGCCTCTGTATGACACATTATTTGCAAGTTACATGTCCAACATACAGTACCATTGTTACCTTCTTGGTTTCACTGTAACCAACTAGTGTACTGTAGCACCATAAACTGCATGCCATAGATATGTGAACAGTGTTCATGGAGGCGAGCATATTTGTAATATGTAAGACTTTAAAATAAAATACAAAAGCCACAATTCGAAGGAGGGTTCAGTGAAAATCCAGTCCTATCCTCTCACATCTAAAAAGAAATTATTGGAACCTTGCCATAAACATTTCTGGCACACGTAAACATATTGCTGCAACTGTTTTATTCACCTCCTGCCTTTGTTTTATGCTGAGAAAAAAACAGCTCGGGATTCACATCTCAGCGCCCAGGGGTGTAGATAGAGCCCTGGATAGGGCTGAGTAATCCCCACCTCTATTGGAGCCCATCTGTTTTGGTTTTCATTTTTCTGCATTATTAGTGCTTATTGGTACATGGTCTAGGAGCGTAGCCAGGGTGTTTGAAGTCAAGGAGGAAGGTGATGCCAGGGGCATTAGCCGAAGGAATGGTGACCTTAAGGTCCGACACAAGGCAGCACTCTCACCCTCCGGGAGCCTCTCCCTTGATGTTGGAATCTAAGTCCTGCACTCTCTCCAACCCCAGGCTCCAGGGACATTACAAATTTGCCACATCATCTGACAATTGGGTAATATCTTAAGCATAACATTTTATTATTTGTGCCTTAGTCATAGTGTGCAGAGTCATGCATATTGCAGTTATAATTCTATTAAAAAGTGAAAAGTGGAGCTACATAACTCCCATATAATAT